AAAAAAAAAAAAGGGGAGGGGAGCCCAGCGGGGGGGGATATGCTTCAGTGTTCATACTACCTGTTCTGTTAATCAGCATAGAAGCATTAATTATATTTTTTAATCTGGGTTGTCTTTTTCAGTGACATCTGACCTGTGATCCATGTGCAGCTTTCTACAGTGCACTGGTGGTCTGTAGTCACTGCTGTCTTCAGGATTGGGTTAACTCATGTTGGTTCTGCTTGTGTGTGTACCTGTAATTTCCTAATTCCTCAAACTGGTTTTAATATGCCTCCCATTTCTCTGTTATATTTTAAAGCTTCCTTTGGAGTTCGTAGACTCATAGGAGTAACTGAAATAGAAAAAGGCTCCAGCTATGGCAACCAGGAATTCAAGAAAAAGGAATAACTGACAGCTACAGTTCAACACATATAACCAGACTATGGTATCGGATTAACTTCAGTGAAAAAACAACAACAAACACTTAGAAACTATCTTTTTCTTAATAACTGGTGACTAATATTAATGAATAAAACTTGAGCCAAGAATGAAGAAGTTGGAGGCATCAACTGAAGAGAACGCATCAACTTTCTGCCTGTTTAAGGATTACTGTAGTCAAACTATGGGAGAAAATCTGGGGTGGGGTGGAAGAAGACACTAATTTTTCTTGCTTTGGGGGACTTGGGGGTGGGGGGAGAAAAGAGGGCATTGGCCATGGCCACGTGCATCTTCAGATGACTGAATACACTGGTTTCTGTCAAGAGCACTGCACTCACTTTTACAACAAGAGCCGTTGAATGTTTCCTCTTGCTAAAGCCAACGTAATGTTTGTTGATTTCCAACTTTTTTTTATTAATGAGCCAGGAAGAAACAACCCTTCTTAAATTCATTGGCAGAGGTTCATTGGGTTAGAGTCATTTTGGAAAGGCTGTGTTGTCATGGCTACAGATGAAATCCTATTTGTATGTTACACTGATACTTTTTATTTTCAGGCAATGTCTTAGAACTTCTGTAATGAGAGAGAACGGATAGTGGCGTTTGGAAGCAGTGCGTTATTGATCAGGACATACCATAGAACAGATCCACTAGTATTAAAACAGTATAAAGTTCTCATCCTATCTCCTGCTAACTGCTCAAGGCGGTTTAATTTCAAAATATTACTTCAGTCTTGAGAGTTGTTTGCCCTGTTTCACATCAGACGTGTATGATAATCTTGAATCTGTTCGGGCTTGGTTTGTTTTCTGAATCAATGGTGACCGTGGAATTTGGAGTTGTGCGAAGAAGGAAATGTATTCAGTTGTCCCGACATTTTCTCCTTTTATTTCTGTTTGCATCTCTCATCACCAAAGTCCAGTTCAGCCAGCCTCTCTCAGTAAACTGGGAGGCAGCAGCAGAAATCAGCACAATAATTTTCAAAACATTTTCTTTTAGAAAAATTTGAAAAGGAGGGGTCTGTACCAGTCAGATTTCAAACGCTGGCATCTCTTGAACTTTTAATGAGAGTTTTGATGTCGATTCAGATGGGGCCAGGTACCTTACCCTGTGTGCTGTAATGATAGGGTGTGCTGCACTTTCTACTTGGTCGTGCTTTAGATGTTAATGTGAAGTATATGGCAAGGTGAGCTGTGCTGTTAAGCATTAGAAAGAGTATGAGATCTCTTCAGGGATTTTAATATCTTTAGTTTTGCTTGTTGACCCTTTTGGGTTTTTTCGCTGAAAATTAGAGATCAGAATCATGTCTGTACCTGTCTCTTCCCCCCCCCGCCCTTTTTTACTTTTTTACAAATGCGCATTCTGAGGTTTTTGTAGATTGCTGCTGTATGCATAGCTGGAGAATTACTTGCAAACAGATGGGAACTACTGTACGTTCCAAGTCTGAAGGCCCCAATCTGCATTTGGCTATGGCCAGAAGTTAGTGAGATGGGTTGCAGATCTACAGCTGAGGGCAGAAGCTGACCCTCGGGGTCTGTATTTTTAACCCAGCTGCCACTAGAATATTTATCTCACTTCTGTAAAGAGCAAATCTTATCAAAGCACTGGTCATTATTTTCATCTTTGCTCTAGTAACCAAGATAAGAGAATAATAATTTGCCTTCTTTTCATATTTACTCTAACTGTTGGAATGTAACCTCTTCTCCCACAGGTTTTTCTGTTTTCAAACACTGGAAGAGCAATTTTGTAACTTAGAAAAATATTTCACTTGGGGTCATTAATCACTGTTCTGTCATGCACTTGATTTTTGTTTGTGGTCTTTTCAGCAAGAGGATTTGAAGGATGACCTGCGTTGTCTGTCTCCTGTTAGTCTCATTCTCACTGGAATCATTGTACCCGTAGCCCCAGCGTTAGATGTCATCTTTGTCCCCTCAATAAATCTTCCCTAAGAAAGGGGATGCAAAACTGTTGTTAGTGGAACTTGGAATATGCTTTGGGAACTGAGGAGAACAGAGCCTAGCCGTGACTGTTTTCCTTGCTGGATGTTTTTGTACTTTGTCTTTAAATTTGGTTAGACCTCCAAATGCTGATAACGGTAACTCTCTGACTTTTCCCTGTTTTTTTTAACTGGAGGACTAAAAGCGGTGGGCTTTCCTTTCTTTTCTTTACTCCTTTTTTTTTTTTCCTTAAGTAATTCAGTAATGGATATAATTCTTGCTTCTTAGAAGGATGTTACAAATGCTGTGTACTTGCTTCCTGGAGATGATACTGAGTATATATAAGTTGTACTGGCTTAGCAGAGGGAGGCTTGCAAAGCGGGCTGACCATTGACTATGTTTTATACTTACATTTTGAGCAGTATATTAATGGGCATGACAAGAAATTCACAAAATAAATCCCTTCTTAATGCTGGGAAGAGGGGAGATGCTTAAAGGAGAAGGGAATTATAATAGCCTTTCTCTTTACGGGATTCTTTTCTCCTCTTAGTGCATGTAACTCCCTATTCGGAATCATGGGATTAGTGCATGTACATCAAGGGGAGAATAATCAACATTTCATATTTTCTTACCATAACTTATTGGTCATGGTTTCTTTTTGAAAAATATAATAAATACATCATCAGTTACATAAATTTTGCTCTTCTAAACAGACATATCAGTAACCATTTGGAAAAGAAATATACAGCAATGCACAAAGCAGTACAAAACCAACACAAATCTCTTCATTTTGAATTGTATCTCCTCAAATAGGGGTTTTTATACACGCACACACATACACAGAGTATGTATAAATTAAAATGACTGGAAATAGCTGAAGTTAATGTCACTAAAGATTAGCGGGAGGCTTGGATTGGAAAAGTGAGCATAGATTTTATATCTTATTTTCTTCTGGTTTAATAGAACATAGCTTGTATATTTGACTACCAAGCCCTTTAAGAGCAATAATAAACAAAAAATATATCATGTTTTACGTCTTTTGCTTTTCAACCATGCTAGGTTTAATAAACTTAAAGCTATAGGAGTATTTTCTCTCTCCACCTTTCGAAATGTTCGTTTATTGCTTGATTGTTTAGACTAAATACCATGTTCTCCAGTATGGACCTGCAAGCTGACTGCCACAGAGTTCAGCATTGACTCTGAAGATGAATGGTTCCCAGACTCACACGGACAGATGCTATGCTCTTGGCCTCGGCAGCACTTGTGGTGGTCATGAAGAACATGGGATTTGCAGATCCAAGGTAGCATCGCGTTGAGTGACATCTGAGAACCTGGCAGGAGAGCTCAGAGACCGCTGGCGTGGTGGCATCTCTCATTTAGGAAGGCACAAAAAGCTGATGCTGAAGAAGGACCGGGTAACGGGTATCCAGAGGTCTTCGCTCGGTAGGGATCACAGTTCTCTGTTGCTCATTGTGGGCTGAATGTGCTCTTGCAATTGACTTTGCATCACTGAGCAAAATGTCTGTCTCTGGCACAAAGAGCATGGGCAACGTTCCTTTATTCTGCTTTAACTTATCTTGAAGGGCTCTACACTTAATTGCTGACCAATGGAAATGACTACTACCTTTATCCTAATTGCCTAGTATTCACAGAAAAAGTGAGTCTGTCTGCTCGCTTCCACCTGATACCACTTGTCTCCATCACCAATGTCTATATGTTTCCTTGCCTGTATTTTCTGCAGATGGTTCGGTTACAGCCTCTTAGCTGGAACTTGGAGCTTTCCAGTTCAACCAGTCCTATAGAAATTGTCTCACATAGCTGGGCTTTTGTCTTCCTGCCTTTTGGCGCTGGATGATGTGCTCAGTAGGTCTGAAGTGACACAGTGGTGTTAAGCGATAATGCAACTTTGCTGCTTCAGAGCAAAACTTTATTAGGGAAGAGAAGTCTTTCGGAGGCCTGCTCGCAGGGGCCATCGCTCCCTGGTAACGGGTCTCTCTGGCCTCGGTGAAACCAAGAGAAGGGAGTTGGGACAAGGTCTTCACTGACAGTTGGAGTAACTAGCAAGCGGGGATCACTGTATGTCTGATAATTGCTAAAGGTACCGTTTCTGGCCGGGACTATCCCAAAATCTGGGTTTACTTTATGTACACTTTGATTAAAGAAATGTGAGGTTGGAGGCTTTTAATAATGCTGAGTTCACACTACGCAAAGTGTTTCAGTCTGAAGCCAGATAATATTGACATGTTTTGGCATCTTGGAGAAGTATGTATTAAGAAATCTAAGGCCAAGATTGGACAGACCTCACCCAAGTGTTTCATCCAGATGCTGGAGGCCAACGCAGATGAAAGTGAAGAATCCATTCCTAGATTTCCTTTGGGAATTGGATGCAGCTCACACCATCCCCTGGATGCCCGTGCGCTTATGTCACTTGGTGTGAAGTTTCTGGCTCGCAGCAGACGATTACTACACTTTCTGGTTTATGCCTGTGGAAAGAAGCGCATCCCCGTAATGGTAATGCCGAATTTGCACTTCGACCCAGTTTGTCACAGCTCCCTGCTTCCATGTTTCCAAACCTTTTGATCCGTACTGGGCTGCTCCAGGGCTGCCAGCGCTGAGTGGCACCGGGATTTGAAGCAGGTGAGAGCCGTGCCGAGAGCCGCAGGGTGCGTCGCTGAAGGGAGGAGGAGGAGGAGGAACATCCTCAGGTCCGGCCAAATTCTTGCCCTGAGATAACCGAGCGATTGCCAGGAGCTTTGCAAACCAGAGATAAGTGCCTGTGTGGGCAGGCAAACCCTAATACAAATCCGAAACCACCTCGCGACAACTGACGAGGTAACCCTTGCCATGTTCACGTGCTTGGGGTCAGAATTTGTCTTAAGGCCTTGTTACAGATGGCAACGCTTATTCTGCCACATTTCCCCCTATTTATCTTGAAGTCTAGTTTATCTGATTGTCTCAGCAATCTTTACATCAAGATCCTTGCAGACTGTTGGTTGTGGGTTTGTGGGTTTTTTAACCTACTGTGTTTTTGAGGGAAAACTTCCTGAAAGTCAACGTTACAGGGTCTGTGCCACATTTGGTAGCCACCAGAAAATGTCATGAAAATATTTCATACTTTTTTAAAGAGTGGATTGGCACCTGTGAGACAAACGTGTTGTGTTTCTCTTACCCTCGGCCTCTCTAGGTTTATGGAAAGCTGCCTGTATTTCTTAAAATGTTATACCTGGAGTTACAAGCCACTCTTCAGTTTTTGAAACTGTGAAGAAAGTGAATTTGTGCACTTTCACTGTTGAGAGTACTTGAGTGCAGCCGATTGTCTATTTCTAGAAAGCTTTACATTAGCAGAAGCAGCATTTTATCTTTTTAAGAGGAAATGTATTTTTTAAATAGACACTTAGCAGAAACCAGAATATAATAGTATTTTTAAAATCTAAATTGGAAGTATTCTTTAGTGTGGGGGCTATCGCTACCAATTTGCAGTCTTACACAAGTTTTCTTTCTTTTTTTTTTTTTTAAACTTTGTCCAATGTACATTTTCAAGAAAAACACACCAATTTACTAGTCAGAGTAAAATCTAATTTGCAAAGCGAGGAAGAGTGGGCAGCAGAGGCTAATCAGGAATGACGGACTTTTTTTTTTTTTTTTGCCTCCCTCCAAGACATGAACTGGTTCTCTGGACCCCTTTCCTTTTCTTACTGCATGTGCATCCCTGCAGAGAGCCGGGCTGTGTCCCTTGGTGTCCTTGTGCTTCAGCCTTGTGGGAGCTGGACCTTGTGGCCACCGAATGCTTCTCGCCTCTGTGCCGGGCAGGCACTGTCGGCTGGCGCGGCGCTGGCTCCTC